TAGCATTATAAAGTTAAAAATGTAACCAACCCAACCCAACATCAACTCCTATTTCCTTAATTATATCCAGATTAGTAATTCGTTTAATTATATATTATATAATTTTTATAATTAATTATTTTCAAATTATTATCGATTTTTAATATGTTAAAAGTAATCATTTTGAACCAACTTCTTTTTGTCCTTTAAAATGAAAGTTTTAAATAAAAAAAAAATGAATTTATTACCATAACTTTTAACTCAACTTGCAAGTTTGAAATAATATCATTAAATAGAAAAAAATGAAATTGGTAGAGTATTTCAAAAACAAAAATAACACTTATTCCCTTAATTTTACCCCGATTTTATAATATATATATACATAATAATTACAGTAATTAAATTGAGTATGAAATTGGTATTCAATAATATAATATTGTAATTTTTACGGAGACATTATAAAAATAAAAAGGAGTTGTATATTCATATACTTTTAATGCGTATAAATTAATGATTTTAATTGTTTGTATGGGAAAAGCTGGTTAAGCTACTTTTTATTTGAATAAGGAATATTTTTTTGATTTTTAAGAGTAATAACTTAAACTAATCATTAACTTAAATATCATAAACTTAAATGAATCATTTGACGTATCGTTGAAAAAAGTAGGTCTAGTGAGGGTTGGCAAAATAAATTGTAGCCACAAAAGAACTACATAGTAAAATAATATTAACATGAATATCAATTTCTTCTCAGGATGGGAGACTATAGTGATAAGATCCTTTATATTTATTGAAATTATTGAATCTAAATGAGATAAATATCAAATGATTTGAAAATTCTATTCTAACTCAAAAAAAAAANGATTTGAAAATTCTATTTTAACTCAAAAAAAAATGCAAAATTTTAGAAGTACCCTAGGCGTGAAAGATCAAGATGTTACCCATTCGGCAACTGTTCGTTGCTTTTTGTTGCGTGTTAAAATTGGCTATTTAAGCTAACTCAAATTTAAAAATTACTTTTTCGACTTTAAAAAAGTAAAAAAATTTTAATAAGTATATATCATATGTCTTATGAACTTTATTCTATGTCAATGATATTATATAATATTCATGAAAGTCAGTTTATTCCCCTAATAAGATATTTTAAAATAAAATAAAATACAAAACCCAGAATTTTAATAAAAAAAATAGCATATTTTTGAATACGGTAGCCTTTTGAGCATAGAAGATAGGTCGTCGGTGTTGTATAGACAAATTTTTTTTTTTCATTTAGTAGTACATAAAATAAGCTTTAATTTGATTTATGTTTAAAGGATGTAGTATTTCCGGAACATTTTCAAAAATTAAGTTGAAATAAAGTTAGTTTTTGTAAAAAAGTTGCAATTTTAAATCCCCCCCCATGAGCAGGCTAAGTGTTAAATTTTCAAAAAAATTATATCAAATGAAAGGAAAATATCTAAGGTTTTAGTTTAAAAAAAAATTATGTTGATTTGTTGATTTTTGAAAAAGTTATGGAAGTTTTAAGAAAAAAAAGTGAAAAAAATGACAAAATTTGTCGATTTTTAAATTTGTAATTTTTTTGGATATTTCCCCCATTTGCGGGGAACGAGGGAAAATTTTTAAATTTTTAAGGGTAATGTCTTCAACTAGATACAATTTGTGATCTTTTGACGTATTGTTAAAAGAAATCGGTCCAGTGAGAGCTGAGAAAAAGTAGTAACAGACACAAAAAAAAAAATAATAAACACATCATGGTAAAATAAATACCTACTCAGCTTCGCATCGAAGCTAAAATACTTTTTGGGGTATCATTTTTAACCCTGTTGGGGCATAACTTAGATTTGAACAATCATCACCAAATTTTGCTCAATTATTTTTTTTGGGTATTCGAACAATTCTAGGGGGTCACACTTGTAAATATTATTTAAAAAAAAATCTACCAATGTAGCTTACGGTCACTCTAGTAGTAAAGTGTAGCACCCAGATCTCCTGTAGCGGCTACTTGAGCAAACTTGGCAGCTTGCGCGAATGCTTCTTCGCCACTAGGCAGTGCGTCGTCTCCTTGCCAAGCGAAAAATTCTGGCGTGGCAATCACTTCATCTTATGTCGGTATTACTTAAAAAAATAATTTTTGATAAACAAATTTTATTAATATATATTAGTACATCGAAATGGGGCACCGCCAAAAGGTGAAATATTTATTTTTAAAAAATGCATAGTTGGTACTAGAAAAATGTTGTAATTATTGTTATAATATAATATTGTATAATTTTATGGATATTAAAAACATTTANTTGTATAATTTTATGGATAATAAAAACATTTATTTATGTAAATCATCGAAATTATTAGTTATTATCATTATTATTATCTATTTGTCCTATTTTTTTATCGTAGTAAACCAAAGATATAATTATAGTATGTTGTTATTTGTACAGAATCAGTTGAATAATAATTATTATTATTCAACTGATTCTGTAATAATTTATATTACTATAGAAAGATTACCTTAATGACAATTAACTACATCATTTCTACCAATTCTATTTAAAACTTGGTAGAAATTTTATAAAAAAATTCTATTGAATTTATACTAACTCTATTAAGTTGCCGTTTAATAAAAATTATTTTAAAAACTTTCATGAGTTTATGAGTTTTCTTTAATTATAAAATATAATTTTAAAACAAATCTGATCAAATTTTCGACGAAGTTCTGTCTTAAAAAATATTTTAATAATTTTAAAAGTTTCTTTAAACAATACAATTCTAGTATATTTTAATTTATATAATAATTTTATCAAATCCAGGTAGTAATACTTGGTTAAAAAAATTAATCTTATAGATTTATCAAATTTCAAATTTTGTCCTCAAGGCAAAATGAGTGTAATGTTAATGTGAATTTTATAATTGTAATTTATTTCTTTATTATTATTATTTTTTATGCATAATTGTAAAATTTGTATATTATACTTGANGTACTTGAATAATTTTATTTACATTTTAAATCGAACACACCCTCGTCAATAAGTGATGCTTCAATGCACTGATCCATGTACAATAATTGGTTTTGTACTTAACAATTTAAAAATATGTAAAGCCATTTTCATTTATGAAATGCATTTAAATATATGCAAATCGTTTCATTCTTAGAAAAAATGTCCAACGTGATTTCCCCCTAGTGTCCTAACAGTTGGCNCCAACGTGATTTCCCCCTAGTGTCCTAACAGTTGGCTAAGCTGTACCTAAACGGAGCATCGCTGGCCCTATATAATTTATATTCCACTAAAAGGGCAGTTAGCGGTTTCTTAACCAAATAAATATAGACCTTCAACAAATAACGATAACAAGCATTTATTTCTATTTAATATTATTTAAATATAACCTGACTGGATCTCTAGAGATGTTGGTGGTATCCAAGTTAGGTGAGAGACGGCGGCGAGTATACACAACTCGAAATAATAATAATAATAATAAAAATAATAGTATTTAATTTAGTACCCACAATAATACTGTCCGAGTTAAGTTATCAGATCAATAAATGTAAGTTGCCGCAAGCGTGGTAAAATGTCGACTGCCTTCGTTATGTTTTTAATTAATTTAAGAAAAGTGTGTAATCGGTTTTAGTATAGTTGTTAATTGTTAATATTGGTGAAGGACGAATAATCTGTCCGTGACAAATGTATTTGTTATTTTTTTTTTATCTTCTTTTATATAAATTTTGTACCATAATAATCATATTATTGTCATACAACAAGTATTTAATAATGTAATGTAGATTATTCATGACTTCAAACGTTTTATGAATTAGATAATTAAATTATTTGTGTTAGAAATTCGACCAGTTATATTGTAACTACCAAAGAATATTATTACTGTTCAACCAAGTATACAGTTATTATAAAACATGTGTGAAGTTGAATATAAACGTAAATTTATTGTACTGTGTTCAATATTATAAGATCTAAATAATTGTTCTAAAAAAAATATATGATGTAAAAACCAAATTATTATTATTTTAAGATAATAAAGAAGTATGTTCGTGAAAATTTCAATTTATTTCAATTATTTAGTTTACTTTATGATAAAGTTGGTGTATCTACTAATAGACACTAGGTTGGATAAAAAAAAAACCTATCTTCGAAATTTTAATGAGAACCATTTTAACTTTATTTTATATATTAAAATAGGCATTTTTTGATGATTTGAGATTTTTAAAAAAAATTTTACTGGTCGCTCAACGTGTTTTTAGTTTTAATTTGACCAAAAAACCCAGTGGTGGTTCGTGGGTGCTGGTGGTGGTAGTGCGACTTCAAATATAATATCACTAATCATAGGTACAAAAATTTGTCAAATTAAATATAATAAAATAAATCACAATACACATATTATTATTTAAAAGTCGCAGTAGAAAATAGAAATGAAAATATTAAAAATAATAGCAATTATTGCTATTTTCATTTCGTCGGTTGCTATAATAGTATAATTATTATACTATTATAGCAACCGACGAAATGACGATCGTACACGTAGTTAATTTTAAAAATAAATTACCCAATTTAGTAATATACTATTATTTTACCGATTAAAAGCCTCGCTTATAATATACCTAAAATATATAATTAATTTTCTCCTTATAATTAATTTTAGGAGGGGGTGCGATCGTCCCGTCTTCCAAGCCACGATCCGCCATTGAAAATAACCCAATAAACAAAATACTGCCTCTATTATTTAATTTTTGGTCAAATATTATGATAATAATATCAATATAGTTTGATTTTTACTGTAGAATTCAAATTTATTAGTTTCAAAATTGTAAGTCAAAAATTTAAGAATAAATTTCATAAGATATAATATAACAATTAAATGTATTATACAAGAAATATAAAATCTAATATACACCAATGTGGATAGGGGGGACACTTAATACTAATGCCACTATTGCGATGATATAAACAAATAATAAATAATACAAGTGAGTCTTAGAAAAATAAATGAACAAGCATTATACTTATCTGCTAAATGAAACGGCTGATGATAATGTTGAATATTGAAAGGAACAATTGAAGTCGAATGCAAGTAACTGACCAAAGTGAACAATATGCTGTCAACGGTATTGTGATGTATCTCAGAAATATATAGACCCAATGGCGATATACTGAGCGCACAGGTACGACAATAGCAAAGGTGATATTTTCTTTTTACAGTAAAACGATTACAAAACTACTGGCTCGCAAACGCCATAGAGCTCATCACAGAAGAAGCGTTAAGATGGCTGCGACAATGTTAACATAGAGAGAAAACCGACAACAACTCAATGTAACACAACGATAACATGAATTATCAAAAACATATTTTTAGCTTCCACTGACTGAAGTTCTTCCAGCAAACTGAGAAGATATTAATTTTACTACGATGTGTTTTTTTTTGTGTCTGTTACCACTTTTTCTCAGCTCTCACTGAACCGATTTCTTTCAATGATACGTCAAATGATCACAAATCGTATCTAGTAGAAGAAATTACCCTCAAAAATTGAAAAAATTTCCCTTGTTCCCCGTAAATGGCGGAAACCTCCAAAAAAATTACAAATTTAAAAATCGCTAATTTTCAAAATTTTTAAAATTTTTTTTACTAAAAACTGCCATAACTTTTTCAAAAATGAACAAATCAATATAAATTTTTTTTTTTATAGATGCTTAATGTCTTTACCTATCATTTAGTTTATTTTTTTTATAAATTTTACCCTAGACCTGCCCACAGGGGGGGATTTAAATGACAACTTTTTCACAAAAAATTAACTTTTTCAACTTAAATTTTGAAAGTGTTCCGGAAATACTGACACTTTTTTATATATCTTAAATTAAAGCTAATGTAATGTATTTTATTATGTAAAAAAAATTACAGAATTTATTTTGTCTTCACGGTGAAAATAGCTACCGAATGCTATTATTGTGTGAAAATAACTTATCAATTTAAATTTTTTTATTTACGATTTAAGCAATTGTATTTTTGATATATTATCGTATATGTAAAATTATATACTGTATTTATCTTAAAATTGCCTTTTTGTATTACATAACAGGTGTTTTATAATTTGGTATAATAATAGTAATTTATGGGCTTATTTTCACTTACAAAAGACAAAATTATTTGAAATCTCAAATACATATTTTTTTTCAATTTGATCGATCTTAAAAAAGCAATTTTAATTTTTATATTTTTAATAATTAATAATTTTTATTGTTTCTTAAGAACTTTGAAATACAAAAGCATTAAGACACTATGATATAATTTTATTCATTTTGATTAGCTTGGCTGTTATTAAGTGTTTCAAGCTACTCAACAGTATTATACCATACGATAATTAAATCATGATTTAACGTGACCAAAAATTTAATTATAAAATATTTATGATTGTTGTGAAATTGTATAAAACAACAATTTATAAATATTTATAAATGACTGTTGATCATCAAATACTTTCCAATTATTTTTTTTTATCAAACAATTCATTTATACTAAATATAATAAATGACATAAGAATACAATTTCATGTTATCATTAAATTACACATCAGTATAAATTTAATTAAAAAATATGAAAAATTAGCAAACCTATGCGAAGTAATGGTTTACTTGATTGTAATAGTAAAAGTTTGAACGTCTTTAGTTTTATTTTAATCATTTTTAATATTATAACATTAAGTAAGAAAAAAGAAATTACATATAATTTTAATTAAATTAATTTTTGATATGAATATAATTATAGCATAATATAGTTATTTTAAAACTAATACAGTTTAATATAAACTGTAATTTAAACTATAACATTTCATTTTTTTACGTAAAATGTCTTTGTAACTCAATTTTAAGTCTATATTTTGAATTACATTTGACAATTATAACTCACAATTGTTAAGTAAAATTTACGTTCAGTTAATTATAGTGTATATTGGAAAACTCAAATACCAAATCTCGACGTCTAACGAATACGATAAAAAATAACATTATTGACTAAAAGCTCCCATTAAAAGGTTCTGTTATAGGTAAAATTTTCAAAGTGTGACTAAAAAATTTAATCTATTAGTCAACATCTTTATTCAAAGCCATTAATATCAAACCAATAGGTGCGATCGAAAACTGAATCATAACACTTAAATGTAAAATCGTTTCACAAATAAAACATTTACATAAGAATGAATCAAGTTAAAAAAGAAATAATAATTAATAAGAAATAATTCATGTTTTCTTTTTTTTTTAATACATAAATCATCAGACGATGTTGGAAAAAGAAATCATCGAACAGGCTGCAATAAAATACAAATCAATTATAATAATAATGCTTACAGCAATAATAATTAGACTGACTTAAGTCATCTTTTTTTTGACTTTCAATAAATATACTCTGTTTTTAATCAGCGTAATAAATAATTATAGTAATAATCATCATCATCATCATCATCATCAGACAGTGCCAGAAAAAACTTCGGTCGCTGTTGGAATTAGAGAAAATTCGATAAAAATAATATAACACTCATCAATAATTAATAATTATAATAATTATAAATATCTAAAATAATATTAATCGAGCTGTATTAAGATGCTAAAATAATTGATTTTAATAACTAATGTTATTTCATTGGAATATTGGACACCGTGTGAAATATTTATCATCAATGAACGTCGTCATTTGAGATAATGATGAATGTCAGGGTCACGTTTTTGAGATGTCGCACTTGCTAATTGCTTTATCAGCAAGAACGTTAGGTGTTAAAACCGACTAAACTAGAGTTTCATATGTTAACATAATAAAAATCGAGAATAATAGGCGTTTTTAAAATACAAAAAGTATTTCGGTTGTAGGGATTAACAAAGATGTTAAATAACATGTCACAATGAATGCTTTTATATATGTTTATATGTTTTATCTTAGATGTACTGCAGTACGATAACACTCCATGTATTTTTTTTATTCTCGCGCTGTTCGTCAATCCAGTGACACTTTTTATTAAATAAATTTATACAAAAATTATACAAATTTTGTACTCTTTTTTTATGTTGTATAAAATCATTTTTCATTATTAAAAATTATTAATTATTATAAATTTTAATTGTAGTATTTTGTAATAAATATAAACACCAAAACACTACAAATTGGTGACCTCGACGTGACCCAACCTAAATNTAAAACGCTACAAATTGGTGACCTCGACGTGACCCAACCTAAATTTACAGCAATTAATTTGTCACCGTATGTTTTTATAATTGACCCGTTGGCTGCGAATAAAGTAGGGTTACCATCTTTTATTTTATTACGTTTCTGCTTAGGATCTGCTGGCCAAACCGAAAAGTCCGCACCAGTATCAATTAAGTATTGAGTTTTTGTTATTTTATCAACAATAAATAGACGACGAGATTGAAACTCACTACCGTCGGTCGTCTCGACAGTAGATCGTTTATAGTTTTCCGACGTGTGCTGGTATTTACACGGTGGTTTGCATTTAGTGGCCTTATCTTTGAATCGGTAATGATAATAACACGTATCATATCGTGGTCGTGAATTGTCTCGGCGCATAGGTGATTTTGAGTGACGCCTATTGTAGCTACGAGAGTTGCTGTTGCTAAGTCGCTCTACTGCTTGTGCGAGTGCTGC